GAGAGAATCAGGGCCTTTTTGATGGGGCTTATAGAGTTATAGGACTTTAGCTTCTGCACTGTAGCGCACTATAGTATTATTGTAGCATAAGCCAGTGAAAGCCCCTCTAGACTGGCTTCTTGTCCTCGCTTGTTCGTTTTGGTCTCAGGAGAGAAAAATGGCTTCTGCTAAAAGTGCCTACATAGTTAGCATACAAATTTTTTTCGCCACGTCTTCATTTTCATTTCTCTCCTCTTTCTTGTCAAGATTAACATGATCACATGTTAGTAGGGCCTCGTTTGAGGTTACCTATATATATATATGTTACTAAGGGCCTGTTTAGATCCCTTCCAGTTTAGAAAATGGACACTGTAGCACTTTCGTTTGTATTTGGCAAAAATTATTCAATTATGGACTATTTAGGCTTAAAAGATTCGTCTCGCCAATTACGGGCAAACTGTGCAATTAGTTATTCTTTTTACCTACATTTAATGCTCCATGCATGTGCCGCAATATTCGATGTGACGGGGAATCTTGAGAAATTTTGGATTTTGGGTGGGATCTAAACAGGGCCTAATTCCTTGAAGGAGTTGATGGTTCCATTACAGGAGCTCAAACTCATGGGGAAGCTCAGTTTTGGCATATTTACTTTTTATAAAATGATACTAGAAACCATCTTCCTCTAACAACTAGCAATACCAAATGGACACTCTTTTTAACAAGTTTAGCCTCTGGCATGAATCGACCAAATGATGAAACAACCATCAACTGAATGCAGACATACATGATTGTGTGGCATTTTTGGAAACACGTATATATAATAACCTTATGATAAATATACAAATGTGTCCAAATTCATAGCTAGATTGATGTTTTTTAGGACGGATGATGTAGACATTTATGGTATGTTGATGACTTGTCCAAATCCATAGCTAGAATGATACTTTTTTTTATCCATATCCATATGCTGGATGAGTTTTATCTGGATAAAACATTATAGACAACTTTTATACTACCTTCGTTTTAAATTGTAAGTTGTTCTGTTTTTTCTTATATATATAGTATTTCCTATATACACATTTAGAATGAAGGGAGCAGACAACGAGTCACTGAATTTAATATGGCTTGAGCATATCATAGCAAAGTAAACGTTATGGATCATGCATGTCGTGTTATTGCGAAGTGACACGGAGGAAGTGATACTTAGGGCAGTCCCAATGATGTAAATGATTTGCCACGTAGCCAAAACACTAACATGTCAACGTAATTAATAAAGAAAAAGAGCAAAAATCATAGAAATGATTTCTTCATGAAGAAATCAGGTCTACTCTTGACCCAATGCACCAAGAAACCATGAAATCGCCATTGGAGAGAAACCACCAGTTTCTTGGGAGTTCGTGTCGCACTTCCATTGGAGGAAGAAGATAGAGTTGGGAGAGAGAAAGAGAAAACAATTATTACTTATAGAAATTATAGGTTAGAAAGTAGTACTTTTTTAGTGCGGTATCCTATACTACTAGTTTCTTTCGTCGTGACTGCCCTTAAAACACCACTTAAGCACAGAATCCATGAAAAAAGGCTGCAGCAGCCCATTAGAAATGGGCACTGGCTTGAACGCACCCACCCCGAGAGGTAGCTAACCGAGGACACGAACCTGGCCGGGGCGTCGTCCCGGTACAACCCCGGCCCGGGTGCCCCGTGCATGGGAGCATCACGCATGGCCACGGCGGCCCTCACTCACCTACCTGCTAGCAGAGCTGGTGTGCAGTCGACTAGCTAGACAACCTGCTTTCATTTGCGGCACAGCAGGGCTAATCAGTGCTCCTGCTTTATTTTCGGTGGAAAAAAAAAACAAATCTGGCGAGATAAGGCTTTGCTCCCGTTGCCCGCTGCAAACACCACAAATTACTTGACAGAGTGCTTTTCGTCTCACCCCTTTCTTTACCAAGTGTCTTTCTCAGCTCGATACTCCTTTAATTTGAGGATGTACTCCTAAATCCCAATGCTTCGCCCGGGGGGAAATCACAGGCACCGGAAGAATAAATCAGTGGCCTGTGATGCCTACTACCGGCCGGCCTTTTTAGAATACAATAGACATACCGATCCATTTTTAGATTTTTTCTTGTGTTCTACTCCCCCTCTGTCAAAAAAACTAAAATTCTCAATTTTTGAGGAGTCAAACAATTTTAGGTTTCACTAAATCTATATAGAAAAGTACTAATTTATATGATATCAAATAAGCATTATAGGTGACGGCACGAGGGCGACAGCAGAAATAGTTGTTAGCACTCCGTCCATTTTGATAAAGGAAAAGAAAAACAATGGCATCGTCGATTCGTCAAAGTTAAATCATGAAGCAACGATGACGCGCTAATTTTGACAAAAGAAAAAAGGTCAGGCCACCTCTGGGTGTTGCCAACGCAATGACGACCGATGAGGCGATGAATGATTCACTAGCTAGGCGACCGTGAATTCATGGAAGCAGGAGTAAACTGAGGCAATGATGGGTGGAAATGGATGTCTAGTTATCCGTTTTGTCCAAACTCATATCCGGTAAAATTTAAATATGAATACCCATATGCAATTTGCATCTTGTTTTAATATGAATGCTGAAATGGATGTATTCCAATTCATTCTCTATTCAATTCCAGATCCGTATTCGAGAACTGTATGTGTTTTCATGAGGATTATACACATGATAAAAACTATTTAAAATTTATCTCTATGACAAGTGATATAAAATGTAATATTCAAATATAGATATTAAGTTTTAATGTAATATTGTTTCGATTTAGTTTGAATTTTATATATTTATAGTTATAAATTATATTTCAATGCATTATTTATAGTTCTAATTACTTTAATCAAAATTATAGAAAATAATAGTAGTAGTTATAACATAATTGGATACGTTATAAAATATATTTTCACAGTTTCCATCTTTTATGTAATAAGTAAGTATTAGCAAATATGTCCGTGCGTTGCACCAGGAAAAAAACCATAAAATGTTCATGGAATTTTGAAAACACAACAACGAAAATTCTACATATTTATTTATGTTTTTCTTTTCTATTAATTTTTAAAGCTATAATTTTTTCAATTGCTATGGCATCCATAATTTAAGTTAATGTTTGTATTAATATGATAGTGTCATATCACGTTGCGAGGTACAACAATATTCATTCGTAAATATATCATAATATTAATTTTTATACTATCCAAGTGTTTGATTATGGGGCATTATGCGCATGCATATAAATGGCTAGAATCCTGGTTTGATACGGTAGACTGCATGTGAATTTGTGTCTCACCAGAACAAAAGAAAAGGGGACTAAAAATGCACGGAACAAGAAACCAGAATCCGAACAGAGATCATAGTTGGACGCAAAAGAAGGTGTTAGAAATTTTACCTCTTTATTATTAGGTATAGATATAGATATAGATATAGATTAATATTTTTCCTATAAATTTGGACAAACTTTCTATAGTTTGCGTGATTATGAATTCTTCCACGCTTTCTGGAAGAGGAGATACGGGAGTTTTTTCCCCCCCGCAATCGAGGCCACCCTGACAGGAAAGCGGGACAAGCCTATTGGTTTCCAACCATGTATTGGGCCGGGCTAAAAGACTGGTCGCAACAGTGGCTTGAAACTCGATCGCCAGATTATAGCCCTTTGGAATTCGGTATCGCAGCATCCGTTTCATTTTTTTTAGAAATGGAGGATTCCGTCACAAAAAATGACAAAAAGAAAACATATGGTGGTAGATTGACACATACTAAGCGCTCAACATCAAATCACCCCTGCTGATCCTTCGTTCAATCGTTCTTTGGCCTTCACGATCGATCATTTGTTAAGATAAAAACGACTAAGGCCCGGGTTTGCTGGAGCTTAGATCTGTCCGTTTCGGATTTTCCAGACACTACAATAATATATAGAGTTCCTTTTATCTCTCTTCCTTTACAAATTATGAAATCTAATAAAATCATTATTTTTTTTGTTTCACTTGTTTTGGCTTCTCTACCGGCTCTGTAGTAGTGAACTCCTAGTAAGAAATCAAAACTAGATAAAATCCAACTCCAAGCAATGGCATTAGGGTCTTTCTGGGTCCATCATTTTTTCTATAGAGATAGAAGCGGGTCGAGGGAGAAATTTGTGATTTTCTCTCTCTCTCAAATTCGAGACCTTGCGAGTTGCACGAGTGAATAAAAAGATCTTCTCAGCGGGAGCCTAGGAGATTTTAGAATCCGGATAAAAAATCTAGCGTGTTTTATTAAATTCTGGGTCTCTGTATTAAAATTCACTAGAATAAAAATAATCTCTGAGGTTTCTTGGATTCTGTCTCTCTATGTAAGAATCCTCTAGGTGTTTAGATAGAATTACCTAGGATAGTGTTTGATCCATAGGGGTTTCAAGAATAAAAATCTCAAAACTCTACAGTTCCATCAAGCACCCTAGAATTATGGAAACACAGAGATTATTTTTACCCAAAATTCGTATTTATAGTCACATCAAACATGGATGAAATTCTAGGGTTCTGACATTTTTTTAATGTACAGGTTGTCAAAATCTCGTATATACAAACCAAACGGTACCTGAGCCACGTGTGCGTTGCGGCCCTCTCCCAGCGCCTGCCGGTCACCGTGGCCACCGCCAGCACCAGACCAGACTCACCGGTCCCGTACGCGTACGCACACGCTGACACGCAGGCTGACACACAGTGACACGACTGACACAACTCACCTGACCGCCGCTGACCCGGTGACCGAGACGAGGGGAAGCGAAGCGAAACGAAAAGGGCATCCTCCGGAAATATTCTAGAGCCCTCGCGAGCGCCGGCTGAACCTTCTCCAACTCTCGCATTCCCTCCGTTTTTAATTCCCCGCGCCATCGCTGCTGCATTCCAATTCCAATTCCAACTCTGCGCCGAGACTTGCCCGCATTGCGATTCGACTGATCCGCGGCTCGATTACCCGAGACGCTGCCACTTCCGAGCGGGAGGAGCGCGGCGGAAGTGTGGCCATGGACGCCGCGCCGGTGCTGAAGCGGAAGGGCGAGGAGGCGCCCGAGGCGTGGCTGCTCGGCGGGGTCCCCGTCCCCGCCACCAAGATCCGCCGACTCGTACGCACCTACCTAGCCTCCTCCTCTCTCTCTTTCTCTCTCTCTTCATTAGATTCCGGCGGATGGGGCCGCTGTAACGGGCGTGCGTTTGGGTTGGGATTGCGCAGGACGCGGAGGTGCCGCCTGTCGGGTCCGGCGCGGGCGTGCTGCCACAGCCGCAACATGCTTTCGGGGTGGAGGCGGCGCGGATGAGCGGCCACGTGGGGGCGCCGGCCATCGACGCCACGCCGTTGCTGAAGAGGAAGGGCGAGGAGGCGCCGTGGTTCGACGTCGACGGGGTCCCTGTACCCGCCACCAAAATCCGCCGACTCGTACGAACCGCCCGCCCGCTCGCTCTCTCTCTCTCTCTCCCTCTCTGACGCGTGCGTTTGCGTTGGTGTTGCTCGCGCAGGACGCCGATGTGCCGCCTGTCGAGGCCGCGGTGGGCGTGCCGCTTGTTGAGCCGGGCGTGAGCGTGACGCCGCAGCCTTTCGTGGTGGGGGACTTGCGGATGAGCGGTAATGTTGAGCCGCCGGCCGCGGCGATTGGCGTGGCTGCGCCGGCGGTGAACGAGGAGCGGGCGATCGTGGTGTACCAGCCTGCCGAGGCCGCACGCAACCTCCTGCACGGACCGCTCCGCCCGGGGGCTTCTCTCCGCGTCAGCCCCGACTGGATCCATGGGCTCAAGAGTACGTGCCGCCTTACCTGTTTGTCTGCTCGTCTGCTCCTTCCCCCAAATTAATTTGGGCAAATTTTGTTCGATGCTGAAACGAAGATTGATCCATCCTGCAGGCACCATGCTGCAAGAGGCTAGCAACTACAGGGCTCTGTTCGAGGAGATGGCCGCCGGGGACGATAACCTCAGTCTGGCCATGGTCCCGTGGGCGCCCGCAAAGGCTCATGCCCAAGCCGCCTCCAGCTCTACATCGGCAGCGGATGAAATGATGGACGCTGATCAGGACGGCGACGGCGCATCCATGGAGGTCGAGCACGGCGTGGAGGGCCAGACCGCGCCCCCAGCTGGCGGTGCGCTGCAGGGGGAGGCGTTCCACCACAATTACCACCAGCAGCAGCAGCAGCACCAGTGGCCGGCGCAGCACTGCGTTGCGTCGCCGCAGCTGCAGCTCCCGGCCTCGAGCTACCAGCCAAGCCCTGTCACGTGGTCGTGGTGACGGCGCGAACCAGAGCACGAAGGACACGGTAGTGGGTGCTAGAGTACTACTGGTAGTGATTAGGATCTCGGATACTCGGATCTCCTTTCAGCTCAGGTTGGCTCTGCTGGGTTTTGGCTTAAGCTGACATTTACGCTTAAATGCTGTGTGAGGAAAAAAAAACTATTTTAAGATTAAAAGTAGCTCAAGCGAACAGAGACTTTTAGACTTTTAGGGACCATGACGCGATGCTTCGGGCAAGTGAGTCTGCTGATGTTCCCTTTCCGAATTTTTAGGGAAAATTTATATTTTTATCGTTATGACCATCATCACTCATCCGATTCTGATCCTTACGATGTAAATTACATATTTACCAGAGGAGACAGAACAGAAGAAATCTTACAAGTTTATTAAAAACGAGCGTTTTTCGTATGTGGCGTGCCAGGTCATGATGCCAGCATGGACGTACATTGTAAAAAGACGAAGCTACCCCTACCCGGTTCCTCACTCACTCTCCCACACCTAGGTCCGGTAGCTCCTCTCACTGTCTAGTGGGCTCCACCTGTCAGCTTTGTCTCCCACCCCCTCCCAATGAAAGCAGCGCAGAGCAGGGGCGCCGGCAGCCAAAGGCCGGCCGCGGGGAGGCTTCCCCGTCAGCACCCTCCAGGGTCAGGTGACCAAGCCCCGCCACATCCGAGCGCCTCGTCCGCGCACCCTGCGACCAAGCCCCGTAGTCACTCCCTCTCCTCTCCCCAACGAGGTCAAGTCAGCGCCCGCCCTCTCCGGCCGCCATTGACGCGCGCAGCCAAGCTCCTCCACCGCTCGCTTCTCTCCTTTCCGCTCCCTCTTATGCCCCTTTAGCGAGCCCGGAGGCCTTGCGCACTCACTCCACCACCATCCACCCGCTCCCTGAGCCTTTTCCCGCTCTCCAGCACCCAATTCCGCCGCCACCGCCGCCATTGTCGAGCTCGGTTTGAGCTCGCTGCTCCCGGCACGCCGACCGCCTCCGACCTCGCTTCCTCCTCCGTCGAGTTCGCAGAGGCACGACGAGTCTGTGACACAACTCCTTCGCATCAATCGGCGCCGCAACGCCTTTCCCTGCGACCTCGCCGGAGCTGCTGTCCGCCTCGTCTCAGCTCCCTCCCTCTCCGTGCCGTTCCCGACGGCGAGAACCCCACCAACATCCGCGGTGAGTTCCTCCTCCGTTTGCGCCACTTCCGGTCATCCGCCGCCCCCTGTAGCCCCACACCAAGCCCACGCCGGTGAGCGAATGGTCCTAATATGGTTAGAGGGGGTGAATAGCCTATTTTAAAAACTCTACAAGGCACTAGAGCAATTGATTAGGTTAACAAACGGTGTAATGCAATTTTACTCTTGCTCTATAAGGGTTGCAATTCACCTATCTCAACAATTCTAGTTGCTATGATCTCTAGTCACACACAAGAGCTAAGTCACTACTCACTAAGCTAGTGTGCTTTCAAAGACTAACTAAAGAGCCACACTAACCAAACTAACAAGCTCTCAAAGACTAACTACACTAAAGAGCTTAGCAACTAGTTTGCAAGAAATGTAAAGGAGTAAGTAGGGTGATTATACCGCCGTGTCGAGGAATAAACCAATCATAATATGAAGTCAATACAATCACCAGGAGAATTCCAATCACACAAGGGATACAATAATTTTCTCCGGAGGTTCACGTGCTTGCCGGCACGCTAGTCCCTGTAGTGTCAACCAACACTTGCTGGTTCGGCGGCTAATAGGTATCACACACCTAGCCAACAAATGGCACCGCAAGAACCTACCCACAAGTGAGGTAACTCGATGACACGAGCAATCCAGTAGAGTAACCTTTCGGCTCTTCACCGAGAAAGGCACAAGACCCCTCATAATCACCGAAGCCGGCCACGAACAATCACCAGCACGTGTCAAAGCTCCTCCTCTGCTCTAAGCCATCTAGGTGGCGGCAACCATCAAGAGAAACAACAAATCCACAGCCACAACGATTCCCAAGTGCCACTAGATGCAATCACTCAAGCAAATGCACTTGGAATCACTCTCAATCTCAACTATGATGATGAATCAATGATGGAGATGAGTGAGAGGTGTTTGCTTAGGCTCACAAAGATGTTTCACTGATGAAAATATGCAAGAGGGTAAGCCAAAGCCGAGCCAAGTCTATTTATAGAGCCCTCAAGGCTCCACTAGCTGTTATGCCTCGGGGAGGGCCGTCGAACTGTCCCTGCGGGGGCGTCGGACAGTCCGACGCAGGGTCAAACGCCCTGCTGCGGCCACTCTAGTGCGGTCACGTGTCCTAGTTGAAATTAAACGACCGTTACGCGCCAATAGTCCTCAACACTGCCGTCGGACCGAGCCTCGGACCCACCGTCAGACCACGCAAAAGGCGAGTCCAACGCGGTCCAGTAAGCACCAGAGAGCACAAAACTCGTCGAACGCCGGTCCGATGTGGGCGGTCCGACGCTGCCACGCATCACGCCCGCGCTCGCCTCGCTTTCTCCCGCTCGAAGTGAACAATGCTAGCGCATAGTCCGACGCAGCCCTTGAGCCAGAGTCCGACGCCTCTGTTACTTCTCCTTTTTTTTCTAACACCTCAACCTCTTCACCCTTGCTCCCAACTTACTAACCACAAAGTGTAGAACTTGTGTGCACGTGTGTTAGCATTTTTCAATGCATTTTAAAAGGGTTAATTGTTAGCATACTAGGTCCCTAATGCATATGCAAGAATCATGTCACCTAGTGACACTCGATAACCTCTTAGCTAAAGATTTTCTCTCTTTATAGTATAGCTATCGATCCTAAATCACTCACACTCTCTATGGTGTCTTGAGTGTCAAAACAAAAATCTATCTTATACATTTGTCTTGATCTCCTTGGTTTTTGTTTTTCTCTTTCTTTTTTTTCAAGTTGGAGCACTTGATCTTCAAGTTTAGTCTTCAACATCACCATGACCATCATCTAGCTCCACCACTTGGCATAGGACCATCCTGTCATGTCTACACACTTAGTACAAGGATTAGTCTCAAGGTTTCATCAATTATCAAAAACCAAACTAGGGTTTTCAGCGAGCTTCGCTAGGGCGCCGCCACACCCCCTCCTGTTCTGACGACCATCTCCTCCCCAACTTCGATCGCTGACGGGGAAACCTCACCGTGGCCGGCCTTTGGCCGCCAGCGCCCCTGCTCTGCTCTCCTTCGTTAGGAAGGAGGTGGGAGACGAAGTTGACAGGTGGGGCCCACCAGGCAGTGAGAGGAGCTACGGGACCCAGCTGTCGGAGTGGGAGAGGGAGGAGCAGCTTCATTTTTCGCAATGCACATCCACGTTGGCACCGTGACCTGCCATCGTATGCAAAAACGCTCGTTTTTAACAAACTTGTAAGTTTTCGTCTCTTCTCTGGTAAATATGTAATTTTCATCCTAAAGATGATAATCGGACGAGTGGCGATCGTTATAACGGTAAAAATGTAAATTTCCAACTTTTTAGAAGGTCATTTGGGCTGTGCGGTCGCTCAGTGTGGAATTGTTTTGATATCCGATTTCGTACATTGGCAGGAGTACCATGTGCGTGGTGAGGATTTGCTTCGTCTGATTGCGTTGCTCGATTCACTCAGGCTGCGAAGCCTGCTGCTGACTGCTGAGCATAAGAGTAGAGTATTTGGAAGGGATGACATGCCATCCGGATTATAATGAGTGTAGTTCGTGTGTGAGTGTGCGGTGTGCCAATCTTTTTTTCAAATACACAAGAACGTTGCGCATAATTATATTAAGACGGGGTAAAAAGTATTTTACAAGTAATCGGCCTGTGGCTGGCTGCTCGTAAGGCTACATTTTGTGCGGTGTGCCAGTGTCCTTGCTAGAACTTTCCCCTTTAGAACGCCGAAAGATCAACGCAGGAATTGAAAAAAGTAGGATTTCTATTAAAAAAAAGATTATACAAAACAGAGGATTGAGAAACGTATAGGAATGTTATGTGCAAAATTGTTTGATAGAGCATAGGAAAGGAATTGAGAAGATAAATGTTCGTGAAGGATAACGTATTGCTCTTCTTAAAAGTTCTACTCGTAGTCAGCTGAGCTTTGCATGATTTTGCATCAGTAGAAACGAGGCATTGTCTTATCCTAAGCAAATGAAAAAAAGAAGGTTCAACTGGATGTTTCTTTTTCTACAATCTTCCTGAAAAATAGGGAGCGTAGAAATTTTACCTTCAATTTTTCTATGGTCCAATCATTCACTCCAAAAACATGAACAGTGCTCAATACAATAGAAAATGAAATCCTCCATTCGCCCTCTAAAAATCCTCCAATCCAAAGGAGACCCAGCAGTGAAATGTTTACATATCACTCGTCACAAAACAACATCACATATACTTCTTCTGTCCTAAAAAAAAGTGTCATTCTCGTTTCTCAAGAAGTCAAACGCTCGTAACTTTGACTAAATTTATATGTATCTTACATAATTGATATCATTAGATATGTTGTTGAATCTATTCTCATGATATACTTATTTGGAGATACAAATGTTGCTAATATTTTCTAAAAATATAGTCAAATTTAAACAAATAGTTTGACCGGCAGAAATACCGTAGCAACACTTATTTTGAGACAGAGGGAATACTTTGCAACCTTTTCTATCGTGGTTTGTTGATATAACCGCTACTCGTAGGTTCCCATAGTAGAAGAGCATGGGTGTCAATTTTATCACAGAACTACTTCCTCACCATAATTTATTATTTGCATTTCTATTTTATTCGCATCAAATAAACATGTTTAACATTTTGTTTGCGATCAAATTAGAGAAGTAGCGTTGCAGATCTGCAAACAATTGCGTTCGACCTCCAAGATAGAGATCTTAGCAAGAAGTTGATAAGTGATGACGCCATCAATTACATGCCATGTTCGCTTGGCTGATAAGCCATGGCTGAAAGTACTGTTGGCTGATTTGTTGTGAGAGAAAAATACTATTCGTTGGCTGAAAAGGTACAGCTTATAAGCCAAGCGAACAGGGCAATATGTGCTTAGTCGTTGTCGATGAAGAGGTCCTGGATGTAGAGATCCATGTGGTGCGCGAGTGCCGGAGCACCGTCGGCCACGTCGTCTTTAGGTTCAGCAAGGGGCAAATGTTTTGCAGTGTGAACTGGTGAAAAAACGGTTTATGTTTTAGTAATTGAATAACAACAATCGAGGAATAATAATTTTAGTCCGAGAGAAAAAGGTGATGTTTACTCCACAAGCATGAGTTGAGCCACATAAAACCATAGAGTAGATATGGCATGATCGTGAGTGCAAAGGCACGACAAGTGAAGACCGAAGATGATGGATGCTAGCTGAGGTAGAAAAGCTCTTTGAGAGGATGATATGAAAGACAAGTGCAAGACAAAGATATTGCAATAGGGTTTGTCTTTCATAGGCCATGGGTAATTAGAGAAGTTGAATGTCTGGATTGATAACATAGATAGTTGTACAATAAAGAGAGGCAAATTCGTTGCTAAATACAATTATCTATTGCCACTAGGTGAAATCTAACATTGCATATGTATTTAGATCAAGCGATGTGGTGAGAAGCAAGTGAAAAAGTTTGGAAAATGTTTTGAAAATGCTAACTCAATGCAAAATGTGATGGTCATCCCATGAATACCTATTGGAGCTATCCGTTTTTAAAAGGTTTGAGAAGAGTAGCTCCGGGGAGAGATTTTTAATCCTCACCGGAGCTCTCCGATGGGCACCAGAGTACACCTACTGAAAACTTAGGTGCTGGCGATTAGGTTAGTCTGATCGTCCGTTTAAGATCTCTGGTGGTCACCAGAGTTTAGATCACAACCCTAACCCTAATAAAAATCAACAGGTAAACCCTAACTTCCGATGGCACCGGAAAGCTAACCATTTAAGTTTAGACTCTAACAGGGACAGTGTGGTGGCCTGTGCCAAGAGGTCAGTTGCGCTCCGCTCTACACCTCGCTTTGTCTATCGCTGCACCACACCCCGAGTGCGTATTGTGTGGTCTACATCGGTTTTGATTGTCAACAACAAGAGAGATAAGAGGGAGACAAAAGAAATGAGAAAATGAGTTTTTTTTTTGTCAATGGCATATGGGTCCCTGTATATAGTCTATAATTCGGTTTTTTTCTTCAATCATTTTAGTTAAGGAAAAAGGAGAAAGAGGATGTTGCGGAGGTGCTCTATATTTTTTTATACAGTAATAAGGTATAAGGTAAAATAATGCTACAGTGTAAAAAGCCGGAGGCAAGGAGGGTTGCAGGGAACCGAGCCCCAGGCAGCGCACGAGGCCTCCATTCGGACCAGAACCCGATCGGGCCATCGGGCACGCGGCGGAGAACGCGAGTAAGTACTCCCATCCTCAACCCCTCCCCTCCGCCGTAAACCCCGCTGTTCTTCGCCGGAGCACCCCCTCCCCGTCCCCAGCCCCAGTCTCCGTCCCCCCGGACCTCGATATCTTCGGAGGCCGCCGTTGGGGGCCGCCTGCATGCTCAAATCGTAGACACTGGGTCGGCGCGGGGTGGAGATCCGTCCGGGCTCGGATCGATTTCTTCGTTCGCTGGTGAGTGACCTAGGCAAGCTGGACGGGGTGGTTTAGGAGCTGGCTTTGGTCTAGGAAACACCTCTTTTCTGAGTTAGAGCAATCACATCCAAATCAACTCTCTCCATTCAGCCGGGAGCGATTTGCTTGCTGCATGGCACCCTAGTCTAGTCCATCCACGCGTGGTTCAGCTAGGTTATTCAGCGCGCAAGATCGATCTACACTAGCTGCGGGCGCTGGCCATTTTCTAACAAAATTGCTACCCCCGTATTAACTCCTGCCTTTTGCATAGGGTTCTTTGCGGACACCTCTGCCATCTCTAGATTTCATCTTGATGCCCCCCAATGAATAATTTGCCTTTATATATGTTACTGTTCAAGAAATTGAGGTAGGCTCAACCCATTGAGCTACATTTCTGTTGCTGAGATCTGTTTGTGTGTCAGATAGATAATTGAGAATCGCTAGTGCAGTTGATTAATGGGGAATATGAAGCTTGTCTTGTGTGCATTATGCTATGTAATCAATCTCTTGTTCAGTGAAGCATAAAATAAGCCATCACAACTGCACTTAAAGCATCAGTCTGAATCAGGGGTGCTTCTTGTCATACAACAGCTTCTAACTTTGTACAAAAGATCGTTAACCAAGTAGGTTGGTTTGCTTATGCAGGTCAGGTACTCAGGTTATCATCCATCACACTATTATATATCATGCAATATTTGAACCTTCATGAGTACTGGATGTGATACATAATGTGCACATATTCCACATGGAACCATTCTTCTGTTTGCAGCAGGAAATTCTAACATTTACCAACTGCAGGTACCCAGGCTCTATAATTTGTACAAAACCGATGGAAAGTTCTAAATCTCCTCAATCATCAAAGAACAGTCAGATTACGGTGCCTTCTGAAAGTAATGGCCTCCGATTTGACAATGACGAGTTTTCTTCAGAAACTGCATCAAATCAAATGGTTGTTTTCAACTCTGAAGCAGGAGATAAAGAGCAAGATGAACTGGGAGAAAACCGTTTGCAGAAGTCAGTCATAACAAGGGGGATATCTCCATCTATTGGAGCATTCACTGTCCAATGTGCTAAATGTTTTAAATGGAGGCTTATCCCAACGAAAGAGAAGTATGAAGAAATTCGTGAACGTATTATACAGGAACCTTTTTTATGTAAAAGAGCTCGTGAATGGAAACCTGATGTAACATGCAATGATCCAGAAGATATATCTCAGGATGGTAGCAGGCTTTGGGCTATTGACAAACCCAATATTGCACAACCCCCTCGTGGATGGGAAAGGCAGATTAGGATAAGAGGTGAAGGGGGTACCAAATTTGCTGATGTGTAAGTAATTCTTTTCTTTCAGTGCTGTATTTGCTCTGATCTTATTCTCTTTTGCAACACAATTTAGTTCCACTTTTTATGGCTGTCATCTTTCCTTTCAAATCATCGTTAATGATAGAGAAAATAACATAAAACATAACTGCTTATACGAGTGTGCATTGCATTTTGGTTGGAACATTATGATTTTTCCAAAATGTTCTCCAAAATATCATGGATCTAGGAAAAATTCAGACATGTACGTCTGCAGCATCGTGAATAAAATTATTGACCTTTGGGACATACAAAGTCACATTTTTTACTGCAATTTCTGAACTTAATATGTTTGTGTAACCCTCTTCTATTTGCTTTCAGATACTATACCTCTCCTACTGGAAGGAAACTTAGGTCTCTGGTTGAAATTGATAGGTATGACAATTCTAATTTCTTCAAAACTTCTTTATCCAGTGAGCTTTGTATGTTCCCTGAAAGTGCACTGTGAAAAGTTGCAACATCTTGAATTCATGAGCAAAACTTTTACAGCAAACATTGTATGTTTTTAAGGCCTTTAATGAGTAGATATTCCAAATAAATAGTATGCGGATGTTAACTGTATCAGTTATGCACTGCCTTTATTCCTTATATTTCTGAATTGTTTACATGTGCTTCAACCTGTCTGTCTTAAAGCCTCCATGTCTTACTTTGGCAGGTTCCTCCAAGAGAATCCAGAGTATGTTGCACAGGGTGTAACTTTAGCTCAGTTTTCGTTCCAGATACCTAGACCTCTGCGGCAGGACTATGTTAAAAAGAAACCGAAGTTGATAAATCCAAGTGATGAAGCAAGTACAATTACTTCTAAGTCTTTTCAACCAGAAGAAGGTCCGTAATTGGGTATCAGCAAACTAATAATTACTTTCCAGTGTAATGCATGAACTATTCATTCTTAGTTGAAGTTTTCCATGTTAAGCGATGAATGATATAGCTTTTTCTTTTTTTGACAACACATGAATGATATAGCTTGAAATATATGGGCACACAAGCAGAGGTTTGGAAAACATATGATTGGCTAGGATGCTGTAGTTATCTGGGCTCTGACTACTTGATCAGATTGAAGCCCTGATTAGATATGGGAGTAGTGAATTTATTTAACCTTTTGAAATGTTTTTGTGTTAGACAATAATTCAGATGAATTTCTTGTGAGGTTATTTGGGTGATGGGATTTGTTGGGAAAACTTTTTCGACCTCCCAAAAACTATCTAAACAGGCCTTGCTAACTGCCATATGTTGGCTATGTGTTTACTAGAAATTATCCTTTAATGTCCTGGCATCTCTCAGATGCTAAGAGGCTTGCTACATTATGCACCTCAAACGATTGTTCATCATGGTTACTTACTGTTAAGTGTTAGCTGTGCAGCAAGTTCTCTTCGACATTTTAATAAGACTTAATTAGCTATGTCACGTTGCTGTTTGCTGTAGTATGAGTACACTGCTAGACTCGCTACACTTTTCTGATTCCACATTTCAACATTTTGTTTCAGTGAACCCCATAGCCTGGGCAGTTCCTACAGCACATGAGGGTGATGCCAGTGAAGAAGCTTCTCTCGCTGATGAGACACTTGCATCAGAAGAAGTAGTGCTAACCCGGAAGAGAAAAGTAGAAAGCTCTTCGTCAGTAGAGCCAAACCATCTCTCTGATGAACTTGAACCAAAGTTGGCGGATGCTCAGAACGGGGAGACGTCTAACTGAAAAGTAAAAGTGGGCAGCAGCGTGATGCCAACTGCCCCCGTATCATGGTTTTATTGGTCCTCTGCTTGTTTCGCATTTCCCTTGGGAGTCAGTTTCTCTCTTTTATGAGGTCACACAAGCCTCATTTGTAGTATTACACCACAGAAGCTGGCTGACCCAAAATCCGCCACTTTGGGGGGCAGCAACTTAACGAAATGTTTGTAGGAGAGTTTAGAGCCCTATGGAACTTGTTTGGATAAGTATGTTTATTACCTTGTGCTTAGCTAGGTACCTGCTTATGTAAGATGAAGAACTGTCATAGCGGCATAGTTCTGCTGCATGTCGGATTTAATCTCCTGTTCTTTGTTAGACGGACCAGTCGCAAATGTTGTGAAATGTCTTGAGTTATATACCAGTACTACTGCGGTATTGTGGTAATTCTCTGAGCACGTTTCCGATTTGATGTTGTAATTCTTAGGAGTGATCAGTGGTTACTTAAATAGGAGTGATCAGTGATTACTTAAATAAAATGAACTCATATGCCGGATGTTCTTTTCAATTTGCTTTCCTCTCATAGAGCTTAGAATCATTTTGCAGCCAGGACTCCTGATATTTGCATCAGGACAAAATCGCTTCTACGTTAGAACAGTTCGCACTTAGCACCATCACTGCACTTTTTAAAAAAAAGTCTTGAACAGTTTAGGAAACAAAACAGCGCCAATGGCGGAGCCAGGAAAGATGGACAGTGGGTGCTAGACTAGACAAGAGGTGTTTAATTGATTGAAAATAAATTGACTTTTAAATTTTAGGCTCATTTTTCTCTTAGGACCGATTTTTATTCTCTTATGGTGTATTTAGTTGGGTGGCTAATCTATAGCCTGGCTTCCTATAGCCAATTTTGGCCTGTTTGGTCTGAAAATGGACTGGGGCCTACAACGCCCGAATCGGCCGTTCAGCCTGGCCCGAGCCGGCTCTCGGTACTCATTCGGGTCACCTCCCGGTGCCGTGCGCCGAGGACGATTGCGGTGACGACGGCCACCACTCCCGCCGGCCACCACGCGTGCGGTGAAGATCGAGGCCGCCGCCGGCCGCCCTTTAGCCGGCGCTCCCGAGGCCGCCGCGCATCACCGACCAGATCCGGCTGTGGAGGAACGCCACGGTCATAGACAACCCCGCCGTCGCGCCATGCATCACCGACCAGATCCGCGTCGTCTACGAGCAGCTTCAGGCGGAGGAGCGGCGGTTGCTGCAGGAGGTGCGCGCGCTCGAGGCCGCCGAGCAGCGCTGCTGCGAGTACGAGTACGACAAGAGCGCGCTCCTGTAGGCGGAACGGGGGAGGAAGAAGATGAAGCCCGTGCCTTCCTCCTCCGTGTCCGTCCTGGCGGCGCCCGTAGAGGTCCTGGAGCTGCGCGTGTCGGAGGTGGGCGACCGCGTGCTGGTGGTGAACGTGACGGCGCGGCGGCGGCATCAGCTCCTTGGATGTCTGCATTTGGTGCGGCAGGATCGTTCGCAATCGATGGCAGGCGAGGGAGCACCGGCTTCAACAGCCTTTGCAGAGGTTGCTCGATGAACTCATGTCCTTCTTGTTGCTGGGATTCGGCTGGTTGTAGTAGCTTCAGTATCTTCAGATGCTGGATGCTGCCTCTGTTATTTTTTCAGCATGTATGACTAATGACTTAGACACTTCAGTATGTAATGCCAGCATTAAAAGTAGTTGCTTCGAGTGCGTTGTAGTGTTCAGTAACTATCTTGCCTCATTATGTATGCCAGTAATTATCTTGTTTGATTCATGCCAAGCTTTTTTGCTCCATGTTATTACCAGCGGAGCAACATTTACAACTTGTTCGACAAAATGCCTCGAGGTGTAACCTTACCGATTTAGAAAAGAGATGATTGTACAAAACAAACTAGACAACTAAACACGTCCTAGACTAGCTAAGTTTATACAGTACAAACAACTAGTAATTGGCTTGCTGGGAGCAGGCTAAGGCTACCCAGGTTAAGATTCTAGTCATACTAGAAATTGGCTAGGAAACCAAACACACCTTCAGAACAACCACATCCATAAAAAAAAAAAAACTATCAGCGACATGACCTATCAATAAAGTGGTCTATAATAAAAATTACCCATAAGCAATAAAAAATATTATTGTTTCTCACTTCTCCCTCTTATGTTGGCTGGAATGGTGGAAAGAAAATTATTCTATTTCTAATGGACCCTTTTTATAGACTACTTATTGGCTGAACATTAAAAAAAAAAACAATGAACTGATTGTGTGGGGTTTTATATATATATATATATATATATATATATATATATATATATATATATATATATATATATATATATATATATATATATATATACCACACTACTTGGTCCCTATACACTTTAGTTGCTCTTAGAGATTCCACTGGCAAGGTCAGGGCAGCACCGGCCCTTCCTCCGACCTGGCGCCAGCTAACTACGGGCCTCGAGGAAGGACCGCCCCTGTGTAGTTGTACTTGGAGATCATCACGTACCGGTCATCAGCAACAGCCAACTTTTTTGTTTTTTAGGCTTTTTTTTGAATTTTTTTTTCACAAATACGTTCTTGGAGATATAATTTTAAAATCTAGACCTTTAACTCGGCGGCATCATTGGTGGCACCGAGCTTACACGTCTCGGCGTCGTAGATTTTGACGCCTAGGTCTTGGACTCGACGCAGACGTGACGATGACTTGTCAGACAGCTTGGCGCCGTAGATCCTGGCACCGAGCTCGGCGCCGTAGATGTTGGGGCCGAGCTCGGCGCCAGTATCTATGGCGCCGAGGTGATGTTTTAACTCAGCCCCCAACCTTCCTGCCCGAGTCTTCTTCCTCTTCTTTCTTCTCTCTTTCGGGTTTTTTCTCTCCCCACTTCGCCCTACCTCACGAATCGGCATATTGGACCTTGGAAACTTTGATTTGATCCGTAGATTTTCGAGAGCAAGGTATCCTCGCTCCCCTCCTAGTTTTTTCCGCATCGATTCGGTATATATTAGTCGGATTTTTCAACCTAAGAATCGCCATTACTTAGGGTTTCATGCAATTTTTAATATTTGTATTATACAATCGTAGGATGCCAAGGCGTGGAAAAGCTAGCAAAACAAGGTAACCCCAACACATGTTGTTATATTATGGGTTCATTGTCGTGCATCAAATGGGAAACCCTAAATTTAGGGTTTAATGTTAATTGCTTTCGGTTCTTAGAATGAAATTGGTTGAATTATAGTTATGGCCGGATGACCGGAAATGTCTTCGACCCATTGCCTCTGCCTAGTGGTGTTCCAGTGCCCATGTGTTTTTGCGGCGATCCTTGCAAGGTAGCCAAATCCGATGAAGAGGATACGTATAGGCAGGGGTATTGGATGTGTTCCAATTTTGCGTTTGAGCCTGCACTTCGTCGGCGTCGCATTAACAAGATGGTGATGAATTGATGTTTGTGTCATATGACATCTTGCATGATTTTTTTTGTTTTGTAACAATTGTATTTTTTACAGACCCCTCCACTGCTTTGTGATTTTGAGCAGTGGATCGACACTGAGATCAAGCCTAAAGACAAGGAATGGATGCAAAAACTATTGTGGTGGGAGACAGAGGACAAGGAGATGATGGAGAAGAGACGCGGAGAGGAGGCTACAAAAAAGGAGCACAAGGAAGAGGAGAAAAGGAGGCGTGTTGCTGCGTACAGGGAAGAGAGGGAGAAGAAGCTTGAGCGTGCACGTCGAGCGAAAGCAGCGATGGAGGAGAATCCCGATGCCCTAAGAAAGGGAAAGTGGACTCGTTGCACTCAGTAGTCTCCATGACTTACTAGTTCTATGGTTTATTCATGAGCAATGTTGTCTACTGTCGGCACGTACTTCTAGTATTATTGTGTTGTTTAATGTGGCATAGTATTAGATTTTTTATTATGTAGTTGTTTTTATTATTTGTGGTCATAATATTTAGTATAATATTGCGGACGTAGTGAAATGTGATTACGTGCTGCAAACAAAACCTAACTAAGTAGGGTATTATATATTTCAACACACAAAACACATGAAATGGCATGTGAGAATATGTACCGAACTAGGGTGCAGAGTTCCTTCGACTAACCTAATATGCCTTAGGTAATTAAACCAAACAACAAAAACATGGATGTGCCATGTGAATAAGATAGGGTCATCCTAGTAGTGTGGCCGCATAGCAAATTGTGTTGCACCTTCTCCACAGTAGCCTCCCATTGTTGGTGGTGGTGGTGGCGGGGGTGACGGCGGAGGCCCCTTATTCTTGTGGTTAGGGTAGGTGCAATATGGATCATTGCAGAGTGCCTCCTGTGAATCGGCACCATTGTTGTTGTCATCCTATTCGTCGTCCTTGTAACGGTTGCTAACTTCTCTTTCTAGATCGAAGATACAGTCCTGCAGGTAGTAGATGTACTCCGCATGCGGATAAATAGGTCGAGGATCGACCCACCTAGTGAACCCATAGTTTTCTTCGGCCAAGGAAGACTGCAATAAGTATATCATGTAAGTTGTATAGAAGAGGAACATATTAAAGAAACAAATAGTAATAGCAATTATCCATGCTCGCGGGCATTTGAAGAAACGACGACCTCCATCTATTCCCTCGGTGAACATCTGCACTAGGTAGTCCTCACCATGCGTGCATTTTGGCCACTATTCTTTCTATTCATCGTATCCTCTCAGTGGTGCCTTTTTGGTGAAATCACTTTTGCTCTCAACTGGGAACCTCTCATAAAGAGCTTCCTAAAAAAATCAGGACTAAGAGAACCCTCCCACACAATAGTAGTTCCCTTCTCCTTTTCTCTCCCTCTGGACGACCCTCCAGACATTGGTACTGCAACGAAAGAAAATACTAGTTGGGAAATAAGTAGCAATGCATCCAACATTGCTTTTATATAGGCAGAGACAGGTTTAGTTGCCGTTTCAATGTGTTATAACTGGTCACAAGTAGCCTAATTAGTTTTACTGAAGAGCCTATTTCAATGGACACTGAAAAGCCTAGATTCGTTTCCTGAAAAGTCTATTCATCGGTGACATGATAAATCACTGAAAAGCCTAGATGCTATAGGTGTACTATGTAAGTAAAGTGATAAATCGCTGCTGTCATCGTACTCCTCGTCCTTGTAACTGAAAAGTCTATTTTTATTGTCTGAAAAGCCTAGATTCGTTCACTGTTATTGAAAAGCCTAGATGCTATAGGTGTACTATGCAAGTGAAGTGATAAATCACTGTTGTCATCGTACTCCTCGTCCTTGTAACTGAAAAGTCTATTTTCATTGTCAGAAAAGCCTAGATTCGTTCACTATTACTAAAAAGCCTAGATTCATCTGCAAAGCGTCTGTACGATACGATTGGACTATACACGTTCTAATGAATTTACATTTAATCTGTGTACTATATTTGTGCATTTTTAGCAGTAGTATAATTAATGATTCATGAAAAAAATTCACAAGAGTTTCCCTTGTTTCAGGAGCATCCACGGTTACAAACAGAGACATCATTATATAATCCAAACATTTAATCGTCCAAAGAGCACAATACAATCACATCGAATATCACAATCAACATAACATGTCCTGCATAGTCCAAATAGTCTACAATGTCCATACAATCCCAAATAGTTATAGGAAAGTAACTACAAAATCCATAATAGTACATACTAACATCTACCACAAACCCTCACTGCCTCCTAGTCTTACCCTTACACTTGTGACCAAGAGCGCTGGTACCTGGAGTGTAAGGGTTAGGTGGACGGCGTCGCCTAGTGCCTGAAGGCTGTGTAGGCTGAGTCGAGGGAGTGTCCTGGAGCTGAGACAGGCCAAGCTCCTCGTGCCTCTGGTCCACGTCGTCCTCGTACCCTGTAGGTGCTTGGCTAGAGGAACCTAAGCCTCCTCTGCCCACGAAAGGAACATACACGTCTTGCGCCATGGTTGTCCTACAACCACAACGAGCAGCCGCACGACGTAGCCGATGTGACAGCCTCTGTTGTACAAAATTATGTTAACTGAAAGAATCTAACGTATTAATAATATGTTTGAAAGAATATTTTGAATCTTACGTCTAGGAAGCTATGCGTGTCGTCGTCCCTAACTCTCAAACGAAAGCGCTCAATGTCTTTAATGGAGCATTTGATGGTATTGCCCTGCAACAAAGTTCTTAGTAATAATACTTCTCAACAGATAGCAATAGGTTTTGTTTTCTTTTGTAGATGAAAAATTCACTCTGTCCAAGATTGGTCCTAGGACTAAACCCATCCGAATCTGTACCGTCACCTACAGGTCATCACAATATTCATTTGGTCATGCATCAAACTCCATCTAGTCCTCTTCTGAAGGCATGATTATGTTGCATGATTGAATTAATTATAAGGATGCTACAGCTCGAAGGTGCCACTAACTAAAATAGATACCTCTAACGCATAATGTATTGGTATGCAACTTAACGTAGAAAAATAAGGCAATTGACTTACCACTCTGTCCAAGATTAGTCCTACCTCCACCTGCCTTCCTGCACGAGTAGATTAGTCGTACACCGTGTCTTCATC